GAAGCGTTACAAGCATCAGTGTAACTTCGACGATGCAGGAGAACGCCAAGCAACACGAGGTGTCAACAAATGAGGGAGAATTGGACTACTACAACACGATCAAGCGCTCTACTGACCGTACATCGGAGGCACGGATGAGCATACCAGGAATTGCTACCTGTGGATACATTGAGGGGAGAAGCAAATTTCTCTTCACACCCTCAAATGAAACAATCACCGAGAGCAATGGAGCAACACATGTGTACTAATGCACACGTGTTCCTGGTAGTTACGCCTGTTACACCCATCAGGACAACTCTACTCGGATGAGGGAGTTGATGGATTCTCCTTCAACCATTAGGAGTTAAGAGAATTCTCTGCAGCAGCTGCCGCCATCGCCATCGTCGTAACCGCCGCCGCCACCGCAGCAGAAGACTCGACACAACAGTCATATGCAAACCCTGATGGATGATTCTCCGCTCAATGGAGATAATGCTGGATTCTATTCCAGTGGATCATAAAGTTCCGGCCAGGCACAACATTGATTTCCAGCTAATGTGAAGGAGATACCACTATGCGAAGAAACAACATGGCAATGCCATATACCCTCAAGACCAGAAGGTATTTGCTCTTATGAGGATGGGAGGACCACGGTACTCTACCGGTATACAAGTCCTCATGGCCTATGGCTTTCCTTAATGTCATAAAAACTGCGTTGCAACCAATCCATCACCAGCACTACCTCCACGGAAGCAGATAGGCGTAAAATGGAGCGCTGACGCCACTCTGGATAGTGGACTCCGCGTATCTCCAACAACACCCCTGTTTGCCGAAATGGAGCAGACTTCAACACCGATGCTGAGTACCCGAGACATCTTTGACATCAACGCTACTCCAAGGACAGTAACAAAATGAGACAACACATGATGGCATCAGAAGACATATCCCAAAATGTGCACCCAGACACCGATGCCTACCGATGGCCTCCGTGCTCAACTGGAAGTGCATAAGGTCATAATGGATTGGCTATCAACAATGCCCATTCGGAAGTGGGAGAGGATCATATGGAAATAGCCCTGATGTTCCCAGATATCCTAACCCATCACCGTGGAATATCTACGTAGCAGAGATTCCTTGCTTGAGCAACCACCGAGGGAAACTACTTTGCCGCCGATTTTGGAAGTTACCAGATCCGCGTTTATGGTACCGGCCCCTCGCATGGTTCTGAACTCAAGGGATACGCTGAGCAGCACTTCGCATGCGCTCTTGTACTCAAGGCAGTGGGACTAGCAGACCGCGTGGTGGACAGGGTTACTACTAGTAATTCTGCTCTCCGGTCCCGCAGCACTACGATGCCGAGAGGGTACGACTCGCGACAACACCAAGACATGGACCATCATTCGACAGAAGCTGCATGTGTCGGATACAACACTTCTACTGAAGCAGTACTATGGCATGACTGCCATACCACCAACACTTCGTAATCTTCACACGTGGACCAGATGCGGGTAACAGCATGCACATATTGGACAACACAGCCATTCATCTGCACGTTACAGCATACCGTTCCAACCATTCACATCTCCAACTGCAACTCGCACCTGCCCATATATCACTGACGGCGATACACACCATCCTTCCTTACTGTGGACGGAGCTCGCTCATTCCGTAGCAACAGACGTTTCTTGCTACAGTCCAACTTTCTTACGATTTCATCGCCATGTCATCCGCATACCATCCGCAGACAGACGGAAAAATTGAGCGTCTTAACCAAATAGTAAAGCAACTCCTCCGCGCAGCCTGCAAGGACGAAATCTTCAAGTGGGACTTGCATCTGCCCAACCTGGAGTTTGCCTACAACAATGCTACTCACGCCGCTTCTCGACAGACACCGTTCTTCCTCTGTTACGGATGCCACCCGATCACACCATAACAGCCAACCATACAAGCCACAGTCCAGCCCGCTCATGATTTCATCACGACCATGCACAAACTTTGGGATCCGACCCACAAGTGCCTTCTCGACATTCAACAACAACAGAAGCGCCAGGCCGATCGCCACCGCACAGACCACACCATCATCATGGGAGACGGAGTACTGCTCGGCATGTGCAATCTTGATATCGGCCATCTCCCATCCAAACTGTGACCTCGCTTCTGCGGGCCTTTCCTCGTTGAAGCACAGGTCACTCGAGTTACCTTCCGCTTACGCCTGCCAGCTACCTGGAAGATTGACAACGCCTTCCATGTCCAACTCTTGAAGCCCTACCGAGATCCCAACAAGGTCTTCTCTGGACGCCAGCCGCTGTCGCCGCCGTCCGTCCTCGTCCATACTGAACCCGAGTACGAGGTCGAGTCCGTGCTTGCTCACCGCCGTCGACGGAATGGCAACGTGGAAATTCTCATCCGTTGGAAGGGTTATGATCCTTCAGAGAATTGCTGGGTCTCTCAATCCGATATGGGTAACGCCCGTCGTCCTCTTCGCGACTACCTTGTCAAGCAGGGTGTTACTTCTACCACCCAGCTTTGAGGGGGGGAAGTGTGAGAGTACGACCCCGTTACACCAATTTCCCCTTTCCATATTTCCTTTCTATTTCATTCCTCTTTTTATCCTGATTCATTTGGTCTTTATCTCATCTCATTTGGTTTCCTATTCCTCCTTTTCCATTATCCTTTGGTTTATCCTATTATTATGATTATATCACCGACCATGCTCGGGATGTACTGGCGCGCTATATCTAACGTTATCGAGCCGTAATCCCTTAAAGCCAATAGCCTCGCGTGGCTATACGCAGGGTGATTATATTTCTAGAAGGATCTATTCCTTTTGGATAGGATAAACCTGGTTACCTTATGTACTCTGGATGTATAAAAGCACCTTGTACTGATTGATAGGGCAACATTGAGAAAACCTTTCCTCGACACATTCGATCCTGTGACAGCAGGCAAGCGGTCAGGGGAGGGAAAACTGAGCAGGCGAAGGGTGGACACCGGCGGCGACTGCTGCTGCTGCTGCTCGACGTCGACACCTAGACCGTCAGCTGCACCGTGGCTACCTACAGGACACTTCACTCCAGCACCCCTAAAACAAGCACCCCTAGAGCGAGAACCCTCTCCAGCACCGGTGCCACCCCCGAGCCCGTCGGGACAAGCCACGACAGGAACCCCAAGACTAGCACCCTCCTCAACGCCAGCACCCCCAGAGGCCACAAATGGTTGTTGCTGCTGCGACAGCAGCAGCGGCGACTGCGACGGCAGAGGAGAAGACACTGGGGGAGAGACAAGAGGCAAAAACTGTGCCGCAGGGCCACCAGAGTCAGCCGACTCCTCGACCTGGACAACCGATGGGAGGGGAGTGACGTGAGACACACCAGACGGAGCAGGACGGGGAGGAAGGTGAGCAGGGGCTACCGGGGGAGTGGGGACCAGAAACAGGGGAGGGGAAACCGGGAGACCTCGGTGGGGAAAGCGGTGTTGAAAGGACACAGACTCGTCAAAAGTGGCGTCACGGGAGTGAAAGAAGCTGTGAGACGGTGGGTGGTAAAAGTGCCAGCCAGAGGAGTCCAGGGGGAAACCGAGGAAGACACAGGGGACAGTGCGGGCAGTAAGCTTGTCCATGCCAGAGGCATGAACGTGAGCGAGGCAACCCCAGACGTGGAACATAGACGCGTCACCAGAGAACCAGGTCCAAAGAAGGGTCGGCGAAACATGCGGCCGCTGAGAGCGCAGCCAGAGGTTAAGCTGGTGAGCGGCTTAGCAAACGGCGAATGGCCACATAAAATGGGGTGCATTGGTACGAGCCACCTCCATGACCAAGACAATGTGTTGCTCGGCAATCCCATTCTGTTGCGGGGAGTCCAGTAGGGTGTACGATTGGGTGATGCCCTCCGCATGACTGAACTAACCAAGCCAACTAGAGGCGAACTCGCCGCCATGGTCGGAGTGGGGACACAACACAGGGAGACCGCGGTGGAGGCGCGCAGCTACGACCCACGGGATAAGAACGCCAGGCACGTCAGCCTTCCGCTCCAGAGGAAACACCATGGTGTAGCGCGTGAAGTCATTGATGAGCACAAGAAAGTGGCGCTCGCGACGCGATCCAGGGACGGGGGCTGGGCCCCATATGTCACAGGATCGAATGTGTCGAGGAAAGGTTGCACTATCGATCAGTACAATGCGCTTTTATACTTCCAAAGTACATCAGGTAACCATGTTTATCTTATCCCAAGGGAATAGACCCTTCTAGAAGATAGAATCACCCTGCGTATAGCCACGCGAGGCAATTGGCTTCAAGGGATTATGGCAGGATTACGCTAGACATAGCGCACCAGTACATCCCGAGCCTGGTCGGTGATATAATGATAATAACAAAATAAACCAAAGGTTTATGGGAAAGGAGAAATAGGAATCCAAATGGAATGAGATAAAAACCAAATGAATCAAGATGGAAAAAAGAATGAAATGGAAAGGAGAAAGGAATGGAACGGGGTCGTACTCTCACACTTCCCCCCCTCAAAGCTGGGTGGTAGACGTTACACCCTCCTTGACAAGGTAGTCGCGAAGAGGACGACGAGCGTGATCCATCTCGGATTCAGAGACCCAACTAGCCTCTGAAGGATCATAACCCTTCCAACGGATGAGAAGCTCCACGGTGCCATTCCGTCGACGGCGGTGAGCAAGCACGGACTCGACCTCGTACTCGGGTTCAGCATGGACGAGGACGGGCGGCGGCGGCGGTGGTTGGCGTCCAGAGAAGTCCGTGTTGGGATCTCATTAGGGCTTCAAGATTTGGACATGGAAGGCGTTGTCAATCTTCCAGGTAGCTGGCAGGCGTAAGCGGAAGGTAACAGGATAGACCTGTGCTTCAACAAGAAAAGGCCCGCAGAAGCGAGGTCGCAGTTTGGATGGGAGATGGCTGATGTCAAGATTGCGTGTGTCGAGTAGTACTCGGTCTCCCATGGTGATGGTGTGGTCTGTGCGGTGGCGATCGGCTTGGCGCTTCTGTTGTTGCTGAATGTCGAGAAGGTGCTTGTGGGTCCGATCCTAAAGTTTGTGCATGGTCGTGACGAAATCATGAGCGGGTTGGATTGTGGCTGGGATGGTTGGCTGTTGAGGTGTGAGTGGGTGGCGTCCGTAACAGAGGAAGGATGGCGTCTGTCCAGTTGCGGCATGAGTAGCATTGTTGTAGGCAAACTCCAGGACGGGCAGATGCAAGTCCCATTTGGAGATGTCGTCCTTGCAGGCTGCGCGGAGGAGTTGCTCCACAATTTGGTTGAGGCGCTCGGTCTGTCCATCTGTTTGCGGATGGTAGGCGGATGACATGGCGAGTTTGAACCCGAGTAGAGACATCAGTTCTTTCGAGAATATACTGGTAAACTTAGGGTCTCGGTCCGAGATGAGTGTGGTTGGAATGCCATGTTGTAGCGAACAAAGAGTTGTGCTGTCTCCTCGGTGCGTGCTGTGGTGTATGTTGAGATGAAGTGTCCCATTTTGAAGAACTTGTCAATGAAGACGAGGATCGCGTCATGCCTGCTCGTGGTAGTTGGTAGCCCGGTGACGAAGTCTAGGCTGACCACTTGCCATGGCTGTTCAGGGACAGGATAAAGCTGTAGCAGACCCGCCTTTTTCTGCTTGCTGCTCTTCATCCGCTGACATGTAGTGCATGAGGTGACAAATTTCTGTACGTCATCTGCCATGTGGGGCCAGTAGTAGAGTTTGGCGATACCGGTGAGCGTCTTGTTGCTACCGAAGTGCCCCGCGTATAGGACGTCGTGGTATTCTTCGAGTAGTAATTGGCGCAATGGAGGGTAATTAGGTACCCAGATCTTCATAGATCCTTTCTGGTACGTGATGTCATTGTCCCACTGTAGCGGATGTCGCTTTTCTGCCAAGGGAATTTCGGGGTCGATGGTGTACCCGTGTGTGAGGAGTCCCTGGAGGAGTGGATTCATCCCTTCAACTTGGATAGCGGCAACGTGTGCGGGCCGGCTAAGCGCGTCTGCTTTGTTTTTCTGGCCGGGCTTGTACACGATGTCGTAGTGGAAGTGTGTCTCGAGGAAGTCAATCCACCGGAGCTGCCGCATGGAGAGGCTTGGTTGCGTCTTCAAATATTTTAGGCTGCAATGGTCGGTGTAGACTGTCGTCTTGCGCCCTTCGAGATAACATCTCCACATTTTGAAGGTGATGATGATAGCAAGGGCCTCCTTGTCGTGTATCGGGTAGTTGAGTTCCGCTCCATGTAATTTTTTGCTGAGGTAGGCGATTGGTTGCAGGCCATTCCCCTGATCTTGCATCAAGACTGCTCCCACTGCCTGGTCGCTGGCGTCAGCTTCGATGACGTAGTCGCGTTCGGGGTCTGGCAAGATGAGTACAGGTGCGGATGTGAGTGCTTCTTTCAGCTGCTCCATGGCTTCCTGGTGTTGTGGCTCCCATCTATAGGTCGTGTTCTTCTTTAGCAGATTTGTGAGTGGCGTGGTGATCTTCGCGTATTGTGGCACGAACCTGTTGTAGTAGTTAGCGAAGCCAAGGAACTGTTGTAACTCCTTGACGTTCTCGGGTGTCTTCCACGTACGCACGGCTTCGATTTTCTTGGGGTCGATGTGAACTCCTTGGGCGCTTACGATATGTCAGAGGAATTGGACCTTCTCAAGGGCGAAGTCGCTCTTGGATAGTTTGACGTAGAAGCGTTCTCGTCGAAGAATTTCGAAGACGCGTCGTAGGTGCTCGACGTGTTGTTGCATGTGGCGCGAGTAGATGAGGATGTCGTCCAATTACACCACCACACATTCGTCCTAGAGTGGGCATAGGATATGATTCATCTCTGCTTGGAAAGTTGCAGGTGCGTTGGTGACTCCGAACGGCATGACCAAATACTCGTATGATCCGTACCGAGTTCGGAAAGCAGTTTTGTGAACGGAATCGTCCGCCATTCTTATCTGCCAGTATCCGGACCGCAGATCTAGTTTTGAAAATACCGTAGCTCTCCGAAGCTGGTCAAGCAGGTCATCGATTCGTGGTATCAGATATTTGTTCTTGATGGTCTGCTTGTTGAGATCTCGGTAGTCGATGCACATGCGCAGGCTTCCGTCCGGTTTCGGTGTGAAGAGTACTGGGGCACCGTATGGCGAAGTGGATGGTCGGATGAGTCCTTTGGCGAGGAGATACTCGATGTGCTTCTTCATGTCGTCTAGTTCCGAGGGGATTAGCCGATATGGTGCTCAGAAGGTCGGTTTCGAACCTGGTTCCTCCACGATTTCGTGTTGGTGCGTTCGGTATGGCGGTAGTTCGTCCGGGAGGTCGTCGGGAAGAATATCTTGGAACTCCTTCAGTAAGTCCTTGATTTTTTCTGGAGGTTCCGAGGCTTTCTCTCCGTCATTCTCCACCTCTGTTGCTATCGCCAGGAACCCGATATCGGTTCGTTTCACGTCCTTCTCGAATTTGGCGAGTGTCTCAACTAGGATATCTCCTTTATCGTCCCTGTTGGGTAGCTGGACTCTCCTTTCTTTGTTGTAGATGCTTGCGGTGCGGTTTACCCAGTTGATCTCGGGGTTGAATTTCTTGAGGAAGTCTCGCCCGAAGATCAGGTCAAGCCCTTTTATGTTGGTGATAGGGAGAGCAGCATTCCAGCGCAGTGGACCGATTTGTAGGTGTAGCATTGCTTCGCCGTACACTGGTTACTTGCTGCCGTCCACCATCGTTGCAGAAAATGCTGATGGCTTGTACTCTCCTCGAAGTCGGTCGATGGTTGCCTTGTCGCATACAGTGTGCGATGCTCCGCTGCCCACGAGTGCTTTGAGGCATCGTCCTTTGCAGATGACCTCGAGCACGAGGGGCAGGCATTGCTCGGAGTACCCAAAGATAGTTTCATTGATTCGGTCATAGGGTACATCCCAATATTCGTTGCTTCCTACTCCTGAGCTGGCAGCTGGCCAAGGCTGCTTGGAGAAAGGCTCTTCTCCTAGGCCCGGAGTTTCCGTGACGACTGTTCGTGTCGTTGATGAAGTTGCCGAGTTGGATGCATCCGAAGGAGTTCGGGGTTTTTGCAACTTCTTGTAGACCCCCAGCTTCCTTTTGAGCTGCTTCAGCTCCACCGACATCTTCCCTGCGGAACGGGTAGTTGCTGTGGGCTGGTGTCGGGAGAAGGCGTTGACTCCGTGGAAAGGTCGGCTTCTTTCCACACTCCTTAATTTGGTCCCCAAGTTCTCCGGTACCGGTACGATCTCCACAATCTTTTGCTTCTTCTGGAGTCCCTCCCGAAAGTTCTCCAAGGCTCTAGCCCCTCGAGAATTACAAATTTTCATTAAAGAATCTTTGTAAGATAACTTTAACGAATCCTTATAATTTCTTGGGTCTTCAAGGAGTTTCCCCGTCTTGGCAGAGTCCTTTTTCGCGGAGTTAGATTTTTCCTCGGCGATTTCCTCTGACAAAGACTGGTCGTGGGGTGGAGATTTTTCCCCATCATTTTCTCCTGTTCGCGTCGAATGAGCTGCGTCGAAGTTGATTTTTCCGGAACTCCGCGGCCGCTTTCGGATCTTTTATTTTTCGCCAGTTAGATCCGCAATCACTGGCGAGTCCCGTTTTTTGGCTTCCGATTGGCCGAAGGATTTCCGTCACTATTATAAAATCGGGAATGCGGTTATAAAATTCCTCCATCTGTTGCGTGTACTGCGCCACACTCCCGAACTGTCGATGACGATGAATTTTTTCCCAGGCAAGGAATCCCGAATTTATTGGCTTGAAACGTTTCAGCAGGTTGGTGCGGAACTGCTGCCACGTGGCTTCGCCATGGATGAAGGTGCTGTTACTGCCGATCCACTCGAGTGCCAGACCTCGCATCAGTGTCGCCGCGAGTCGTACGTGTTGACCGTCCCAGGTTGGCAAGCTCCATCTGACGGCAGCGAAGTAGATCTCCATGCCGGGGATCCATCTACGGACGTGGGAGTTTCGATCGCTCGGATCGAACGGCTCAGGTGGGCGCGGTTTCGGAGCCTCGAGAAACTGTTGCGATTGCTACGTCGTCGCCGTTGTCGTTTCGTTTTGTGCTCTGGCGAGTTGAGCTACTCGCTTGAACTCGTTTCGCCACGCTTCGTGGTTGGCTCGCATCTCCTCCTAAAGGGCTGCGATGCGTGTGAAGAGCTGCTGGGTAACCTCGTTGTTGTCTAAGTTCGCCATCCTGTTCAAAACACGCGCGGGGAGGGTAATTCGAAAAGATGCGGAGCTGGTGCTTACCAGAATCGGCGTCGAATTGGTCGCCCCCGGCAGTTTTTCGAGGTAGGATCCCCCGCTGCAGATGCTTTGCCGAGCGCGGTTGAGTGAGAAAAGCTCTGATTACCAAGTGTCACTAAATTGAATGTGTCGGGGAAAGGTTGAACTATCGATCAGTACAAGGCGCTTTTATACTTCCAAAGTACATTAGGTAACCAGGTTTATCTTATCCCAAGGGAATAGACCCTTCTAGAAGGTAGAATCACCCTGCGTACAACCACGCGAGGCAATGGGCTTTAAGGGATTACGGCAGGATAACGCTAGATATAGCGCACCATTACATCCCGAGCCTGGTCGGTGATAGAATGATAATAACACGATAAACCAAAGGTTTATGGAAAAGGAGAAATAGGAATCCAAATTCATTGAGATAAAAACCGAATGAATCAAGATGGAAAGAGGAATGAAATGGAAAGGAGAAAGGAATGGATCGGGGTCGTACTCTCACACCGAAAGGGCTTCCTCTTTTGTGCGAGGAGTCGGAATGATCGGGTTCTTGGTGAAGTTGAGGGAAGGGCAGTCAGTAACGTCCGGGAAGATGTGTGAGAGAAATTGGCAGACCGCGTTAAGATCAAAGAGCTCCTCATGCCTGTCCTCCAGAAGTGCACGGGGGGGAATACGGATGGATGGGACATCACCCCCGGCAGGAGGAGGCGGGGTGACCGGAAACCGGATGGAGAAGGCGGCTGGTCCCCAGGCGAGAGGTGGAGCCGATCCCTTGGAACGAGTGCGACTAGAGACCGGAGACGAAGGCGGCTGCGGTGGGACCGCAGGGACTGGGCGCCTCCGATAGGAGACTGGTGAGCCGGGCTCGACGCGCGGGGAAGGCGGAGCAGGAGGAGGTGCCGTTGCAGAGGATACCGGGGAGGCCAGGTGAGACACGCCAGACGGAGAAGGCCCTGGAGAAGGGGCAGCGACCGGAGGTGGGGCATCGAAGTCTGCCCATACAAGCGTCGGGGGAGGTGGAGGAGGCTCACCCGTGGTCGTAGAGTGGAAAAGGCGTGTCTCATCGAAGACGACATCACGGCTGCGAATCAGCTGTCTGGTGATGGGGTTGAGGAATAAGTAGTCTTGGGAGTCGGAGTTGTGCCCCATGTACATGCAGGTCTGGGTCTTGGGACCAAGCTTGCCACCTTGCTTTCTGTGCGTGTGGGGGCTTAGCAACACATACGCGGTACACCCCCAGACGCGTAGAGAGCGGGCGGAGGGCGTGGCCCCAAGCCAGAGAATGACCGTGGTGCGTTGGCGTGACTGAGGAGGCAGCGAGCGATCTGAACCAAGGTGTGGTTGCGGCTCTCTGCAGTGCCATTCTGCTGCGAGCTTTCGGGAAGCGTGAAGGTTTGCCGAATCCCTTGGGCCGCGCAGAAGTTATCGAGTTTGCCATTGCGAAATTCTCCCCCGCCATCAGAATGGAGGCACTTCAGAGGAGTGCCGAACGTAACTTGAGCCTGGCGCCCCCATAAAATAATGAGGTCAGGTGCCTCCGCCTTGGTGTGCAGGAGGTGCACGGAAGCATACCGCGAGTGGTCATCGACTAGTGCAAGAAAGTATCGATGACCACTACGGGATGCGAGTGGAGCTGGCCCCAGACATCCATATGCACTAGGTCCAGCGGAGCAGCTGCCACGGATGGGGAGGAAGGGTGCGGTTGCTACCTGAGCTTGCTTTTGGTGCAGTCCAGGCAGGTGGGTGCAGGTGAGTCTGTTGGTGAAAGAAGCGCCGATGGGAGGCCAAGAAGAAAGTTCTTAGAAGCGATGTCGGCAAGCGTACGGAAGTTGGGTTGACCCAAGCGATGATGGTAGAGGATGGTTGGGTTGGCGAAGCTGCGACACGAACACGGAGTGGTGCTGGCAGCTTGCGCTTGGGAGAGGGCGGCGAGAGGTGCACGTGAACAGAGTGTGTAGAGCTTGCTGCTGTTGAGTGTGAAGCGTGCTAGGAGCTTCTTGGACTTAGGGTCGAAGAGGTCACAGTAATCGGAGTGTGCTGGGAAGATCGTGGTGACGCCTGCCCATTGGAGCTCGTGTTGGGCCACGAGATTGTGGCGTAGTGTGGGAGCACACATGCTGGTGACACTGCCCGAAGGAAAAGCTGGGCACGGAACTGTGGAGGAGCCCTTGGCGTGTGTTGTGAAACTGGAGTCTGCTCCTTGTAGACAGATTGGTGTCTCGTATGGCTTGAAGGAGTGTTCTTCCTTGAGAACCGTGTGAGTGGCCCCACTGTCGAGGGTGAACTCTATTGTAGCTGAGGTGCTTTGTGAGCCAGGATACTGCGAAATCGTCTCATTAATCATGGCAGTGCCAGGGAACAACATGTTGAGGCGCACATCAGCAGGTGCAGCCACAGCAACCTGCACGGATTCCTGCGCTTCGACTTGATTGACCTTGCAAGGAGCACGATTGACCATCCAGCTTGGCGGCTTCGAGGCGGTCCCATTGACGGCATACCACTCGTCATCCTTCTTCTTAAAGCAGGAGGCAAGGGCGTGGCTGGTGCCGCCACACACCTGGCCAGCACGAGGGCCGCGCTTGATGA